CTTATTTCAAATTTTATTTGACATAAAATAATACGCAAATTCTAGCATAATTTATGGCACATATTATTTATACAACAATAACAATAATAAATTCAGTGTATCTATGAAGGATAGTGTGTACGCAAACCTTGTCCCTACCTTTAAAAGACAAAAAGACTATTTCCGATAGAACCTCCGTTTCGGAGCATATATTATTTATAATGAATAAAATGGTAACCAAACCAAGTAAGAGTCAAATATGCTAAATTTTAAGCATAAATTAATTCTTTGTATTTAACCAACAAACGGGCCCTTATTGTACATACCTCATGTGGGGTTACGACTTCTAATACACAGGGGCGGTCCAACCTCATCGGAGGCCTAAAGCAAAATCTTAATAAGAGGCCTTATATATATATATATATATANAAATTTAATGTTGATTGCATCACAACTGAAATGGGAGAACCCAAAACATACGTGACTCCTTTTTTTAGTAAGTCCCTTTCTATATTTGGTAACAATTCAACTTTAGATTTTTCTTTTTACCATTAATGAGATGATTTCTAGCCCAAAAACTTCTATGATTTATTTAAGATTACAAGTTTCAAAAGCCTTCCTTTATTTCATAAAATACATGTCCAGTCAAACACTTTCATATAAATTGGGACGGAGAGAGTGTAATTTATGTAAGGAAAATAAATAATAAGTTAGATTATTAGATATAGTTACGTGACTAACTAATGAATAGAAAAATATAATTAAGTAAAGAAAGTAAAATAAGATTGACAAAAAACTATTTTAGTTATATTAATTAGAGGAAGAAATCGAGTTATTAAAAATTAATATGACAATAAAGAAATAAATTTATCAATAATAAAAGATAATTATATAAATAATATACTACTATATATAGAGAAATACTAGCAATTTTGGGGCCCTTAAATATTTGGGGCCTAAAGCAAGTGTTTGCTAATACATACCTCATTATGCTTACACAAACTTTCGTTTTTTAATCTATATTATTATAAAAGTATGAATACAATGTCGGTTTACAAAAACAACCTTATAACATTAAGCATAATAACTCATAAAAGAATATAATCGAAATTCTAAACATTAGTCTTATAACTACACGTTAGGAATCTTACACTGTTCCTTAAACTGAGCTTTTATCTTCCCTGATAAAGAGTATAATTAGTATCACAAAGGCCATTCCAACTAGCAAAGTACGCTAACTTGAATATGAATGAATATACCAGAATGATGGTACCTAAAATCTGTTTAAGCTCCAAAAACCGAAAGATATTTGCTTTCCTTCAATCATATATATATATGACATAGTTTTTAACCAGGCGAATTTTTTTTTAAAAAAAACGAAGCAAGTTAATTAGCCCCTGGCATGCATGTGAAAAATAACTTTGCTTCTTTCCCCGCTCCATACCTCATATATAGGTAGATGTGGGTGCGTATCTATATTAGCTCTATATATTTATATCTATCTATATTAATTTCACAGTTGGAAAGGAAGGAAAAAAAGAAAGAAGAAAGAGCAAAAATAATGTAGTGGTCAATTAATTATATGAGAGTATGAATAATAACAATTCTAGATAAATTGTAAGTCCATGTTTAACATATTCAAAAACCAAAAGTTTTTTTCTTCCTTATATCGTAAAAGATACGATACGAAGCAAGTTCTTATGGTTCAATCTCTCAAGTCTTCTCATATGCACGAAAATCTTTCTTGCCCATTTTTTCATATAAGTAACTAAAAAAATTAATAGTAATAAAGAAAATGAATTAGCTACAAGTAAATCTTAAATATCATGCGTTTCATATTAACACTTGTAACTATTAGGTGTGTCTATTGTTATATGTGCGAGCAGATATATATAGAAACTAATCTTGTAACAATACTGTATGGGAATCTTCAAATAAACAATATTTTTTTTGTGGGTGGGGTGGGGGTGGAGTGGGGGTAAAAATCAACAAGTTTGCTCATTGTGTATTATTTTTTCATTTTCACTCTCTTATGTGTAAGAAAGCTTCCGCATTTTTATGTTAATTCTTCTTCCTTAGATGCCACTCAAGTTCTTTAGATTACATATCTCTTAAAAATGATATATGAAAATTGTAAAAATAAGTAAAACGGGAAACAGTAAAATTGGTGAAGTTATTTCTCAACTCTCCTTTAGGCTTGTCTTCCTTTTATTTTTCAATAACTTTTAGCTGAATTTATGGTTTTATTTTTTCACGTATTCTGTTAAGTGTATAAAAATAATATGAACATGTGGAGGTTGAGATAATTAGATTTGTAATCCAATTAAATATGCAAATATTTATATCGTTGCACTTACCCAAAAATTTGAAGCATAAAGTTTAAATATACAGAAGTCTATCGTCTAAGTTTACATATATTTAAAACTAAGGAAAAAGTATGTTATCAGCTGAAATCACAGAAAAAAATGTGCATAATTCTATTTCTAATAAAGTTAAAATGTACTCATTATTCTTTTGCTTAACTTAAGATGTTAGTATTGCTAGTCTTTTATCTAATAAAACGTCATCATTATCATGATCATTATATGACGTTTGTGCTATAGGATTCCTACTAGGCAATTTAACTTTTCTTTTATGCTTTTCCATTTAGTATTCTGCACTGGAACCCGATTAATCTGGATTAACGTAGGAAAAATTTACATTGGAAGTAAAATACTTTCCAACAAGAATAACTTCATACATCCAATTCCTTCTCATTAATTCTCTGATTCTCAGAATAATACTGAAATGTGGATCCTCAGACCGGCCATTGTTCAACTTCTGTATAAAAGCCAAGAAGTCCATCTCAATCTTAATGAGTGTATAATCCTAATTTGGCTAAAAACAAATAATCAAAAAAGAAGCTATCACCACTTCCTGTTTTGCTTTCTTAGCGAAATGCTTGCTTCCGTTCACATTAACTATCAGTTCATTTTTCTTTCGACTTTACATATTCAAAGCTCAATCTTTTGCACACTTTGCCTTTTTTGTACACTTATATATAAAAATTATTCAGAATTTATATATTTTTTTAACTATTAAATATAAATAATTTTTGACGCGGGCTAAAAATAAAAAAAATCCTAAAATCTTTTGAAACCACAAGAAAAAGAATGAAAAGCTGAGTTAAGAAAAGGACGTTCGTGTATTGATAAAGAGTGGTGGTACCCCACGCGTCGCAAAATGCATGTGGATGTGCTTTATATGTCACGTTGGCTTGGACGACCCGCCAAAAGATGCCACTTATGCCAGCTGGCACAGACCACGATCTTTTTAAAATAAAAACTGAAAATTTTATAGTATTTCGTATTGATTATTTCATATATAAGATAGTTTTAATTGAACATAATCCTTAATTATATATTCTAGGTTTTCTAATTAAATATATGATATCATCCTTCAACAAAAACCAATGAATTAAAGCAAACCTAGCACCTAGCTACGCCATTTTTAAAATTACTAAAATTAGCTATATTTTAACGACTAAAATTACTAAAATTAGCTACATAGCTACGCCATATATGACTTATATTTTGTCCTTTAATGTCCATACAATAAAATAAGACAATTCATTATACATATATGATCGGACAAAGTCAAATTTTAACTACTTACATGAAATTCTTCCCTAGTTCCTGATAAGCATATTCTAGAAATTTAAGTCAAGTAGGCCAAGTAACATGACGATGAAGTTAACTCAATTAATTTGTGGGAAAAGAACTTAATTGAGAGTAGATAAATGCAAAATGGCAATACCTTTAATAAATTAATCAAGTTAAACAAAATGTGTTTGTTCTTGCGAAAAAACATTAAAGAAATCAGAAAAATGATGTGACTGGTTAAGCACACTACACGTCTAAAAATCTTGCTCTAACTTATTTGAAAATAAATTAACACTGCCTTATTTTCCATATGTTTCATCAAAACTTATACGGATACAGACTACTACAATATTGATTAGACATTATCAATTTTGATACTTCCTCTGTTTTGATATAAGTGTCTTAGTTTAACTGATATGAAGTTTAAGAAAGAATTTCTTTTTTAAATCTTGTAATTTTAAATTAAAAATATGTATAATGTATCAAAATTTTCTTGAATCTTAAATATGACACGTAAAAAGTTGGAACTAAAGAGCTACTAAATATTAAAAAGACACAACCTAAAATCTTTTGTTAACACAGATACTTTTTGAAAACTTTTTTTAATTGCATATGGGAACCAGAAAGAATATTGTTATTACAAGAATAATCGAGCTTACATTTATTACGCAATTCTGTTTTTCCAATATTACTAAATTGTAAGCTGTAAGTTTAATAATTTTGTGAACACTATATGACTTTAAACATCTACTTTTAGGTTTCCATTGTATCAAAAACTCCAATTATACGATCAAAACTAAGCATGAAAACAGATCAACTTAAATCCAACTTTTTCTTTTCTTTTTTGGAATTTTCCTTGGTTCCATTTTGTCCTAATTTGAGAGTTTCAATTGATTTTGGACTCTGCTGACATTTGATAAGCAATAGAGCTCACCAATTTTTTGTGGTCCGTAGTGTACACGATATCTACTACTTGAGGCAGCCACCAAAACTCTGACATGGACAACTTTTACTATGTTTCCGCAACTGCCAAACAATCATTGGATCACACAGTATTATTTTACTATTTTTCCTTTGTCCATATTTAGCACTCCCTCTGTTTTAATTTACGTGAACCTATTTCCTTTTTAGTCCGTGCCAAAAAGAATGATTCCTTTCCTTATTTGAAAACAATTTACTTTTATGCAATGATTTATAGCCACACAAAATATACGTGACTCATTTTACCTCACAAGTTCAAAAGTCTTCTCTTTTTTCTTAAATTTCGTGCCCAATCAAATAAGTTTATATAAATTGAATAAAAAAATCTCAATTTAATTTTAGGCTAATTTTGCAATATTACCATAATCTCTCCCTCTCACTATATATATACACTTCATTGGAGTTTAAAAGAAAAATCAAAAGAGATGAAGTATTCAATTTCCTCTTTCTGTTAAGGTCGTGTTTGGTTGAACACTGAAGTTCAGGTGAGAATCATTTGGAGGAGCCAAACAAGGCTCTGAAATGTATATGATATTTAAGCGATTGATCATCGGTGGAGAGATTGTTGAAGAAGAAGGCGAGTGGGAAAAAGAAAGATAAAGAATTCAAATAGAATACGACTCTAGCTAAATATTCGTAGGATTATTCATTTTTTTTTCCAGAAGATTTTGAAAGTATCTAGAAGATTCATCAGCGAGATTCCAGCTTACGGTAAAATTCTCTCCAGATTTGCAGTTTCTGTTATACAATATTTGATTCTGAAATTATTTATGAGATAGTGAATTATTTTTCAATTTTGAATTTCGGAAACGGTTATGTTCTGTATGTATGTATGTATATTTTGTTGAAGAAAAGAGTATTGTTTCAGGTGAGAGAATTGAGGCAATGTCGGCAAAGATGATGATGAAAGAGGCGGCGAATGTGACCGCAATTGAATCTCAGTCACCTGTGGCGGCGGCGGCGAAGATGAAAAATGAAGTGCAATTTGCGAAGTGCGAGTGCTGCGGATTGACGGAGGAGTGTACGGAGGCGTACATAGCGAGAGTGCGGGAACGAAATCAAGGGCGGTGGATATGCGGGCTGTGCGCGGAGGCGGTGAAGGACGAGATGGTGAGATCGTCGTCGTCCGAGAGAAGGATCGGAAGAGAAGAAGCTTTAAATCGGCATATGACATTTTGTAAGAAGTTCAGAGCAAAAAGTCTGCCAAAAAATCCGACGGACGAATTAATATCGGCGGTGAAGCAGTTGTTACTGCGGAGCTTGGATTCGCCGCGGTCAAGCAGACAAGGTCTGGTTCGATCACAGAGTTGCTTTTCAGCTATTGATAGTTGAATTTGAGTCTTTGGAACGTGTTTGGTAGTATTGGGAAGAGAATTGTTGGGGGTAAATTAATAGAAGATCAATGGAAGTTATTAGTATTAGGCTTGAATAAATTCTTGCTGCTTAATGTGGTATGCAAAAATTGAACCGGTTATGCATTTGCTTGATTTAGTTGTTGTTGTTGTTAAACAATTCTTTGGTAAAATATATCTATTTGGATCGTATATTGGTGAATCAATTGATGAAAATTTGGCTTTAATTTTGCAAAGTTGTTAGATCTTATGCCTAATTTGTGATGATCTATCAGAATTACTCCCCCTTATGGGTGATTTCGTTATATACTGTTTAATGGAATGGTTCATCTTATTACCACACAATTAATATCTTATAAACGTCATGCAGTTCATTGAACTACTTCAATATTTGCACGTCTAGATTCAAGGCAATTTGATATGAAAATGTTAATTGTCCATAGACCTGAAATAACTTCTGATTGAAAATAAGAGGTGAAAATCTTTTGAAAGGGAGTCTTGGCATAACTGGTAAAATTGTCGCCATATGACCAGAAGGTCACGGGCTCAAGCCGTAGAAACAGTCTCTTGCAGAAACCTCTTGGGTAAGGCTGCTGCATACAATATACCCTTGTGGTAGCAGGAGCTTAGTGCACCGGGCTGCACTTTAGTCTCCTAATGCAGAAATTGAGCCAAAATATTTTTGGATATGCATGGTTCAACAGTTCAAGTGGTTAACTTTAAGCAATTATTGAGTGGACAAAGCCAGCTTATTCCAGTTTCTTCAGCGTTTACTCTAATTCTTTTTAATGAATAAACCATGAAATATTTCTCATTTTTCCCTTGATTCTCTTGGTCTGAGACTCTGAGTGAGAACTTGATGTAAAGTTTTAGAAAATCTACATACGTAACCTATTTTTTCCTTCTTTTTTTCTGGTTTCGTTATTTTTTTCTGGGTGAAGATGCGCTTTTACACTAACAGTAACAGAAGACAAAAAGATAACTGGAGTTTAGAGCAATTTACTTTTACAATGTCGCTGATTTGGAAAACAGAGGTGCAAATCCAGCGCCTTTGATCAAACACTTCTCAAAAGCTGATGAGAGTGACAAATAGATTCTGAAGCAAAATATCTAGTTTTTGATGGTGCTTTTGATTAAGATCACATTTTGTGGTTCGGGTTCCTCACTTCCTCAGCTTCTTCTTCTACCCAAGGTCTGGTCACAGTCTGTTCGGCACATTACACTCATTCATTGAAAGCTTGAAATAAGCATTTGACCGTTGTGAAACAAGTTAATTTTACCCCTACATATGATAGTGTCGCAATAATATTTCAAACATAGTAAGAGAAGAATCATTGATTTACACAATTGATCATTGTGTTTAGTTGAAAAACTAGTAGCTTGAAGCTACCATACACAAGACTATGAGTCACAATATGGGTTAGAAGCGAGACATGTTCTCGCCGTCCGCTTGCTGTAGTAAGGACCTTTGTTCCTCGTGAGCACGTGTCATTGACTAAGTCACCGTGGCGGAAGGGTCTCAATGAACGCCTTGAAATACAATTTCCATCGAGCTCGAGTAGAATTCCTTGTAAACAACTTAGATAAGTGACATGATATTATAAGTGGCAAAGTGGCTTTGCTGTCAGGCTCCATCGAGATTCAACTATTTGTCGCGTTGATTCGTTAAAAATTAAAAATAATTAACCATTTGATTATCTAAACAATCAAGTGAATTTTATTTTTACTTTTCAAGAGTTCTCATCTTAATAAGTAGGAATTAAATGCCATTAACATAATAACATCAGGCTATGGTCAGTGGCGGATACAATTACCAATATTAAAACCGCGGGTTCAGCAGAACTTAATCTTCTTGTTCGAAAGATGTGGAAGATTATCAATAGCAACTAGCTACCCTTTAGAATTGTAAGACCCTATGGGATCGTTTGGTTTGGAAACAAATTATCTCATGATTAATTATTCTGAGATTAGTTATTCTGGAATTAGTTATCACACTTTTCCATTGGATAAAAAAATACGACAATTCCGGAATTAGTTATACCACAATTTTATCTCAACCAAACGTGAGATAAACTAATCTTAAATTTAATTCCGAAATTAATTATCCCTTAACCCTCGTACCAAATGAGCCGAGAACATCATGCCTTCTAGTGGCAGATGAAGGTTATGTGCCATGGATGTGATTTATTGCACCATCACTTTTAACTCTACCAATGTATATAGTTGAATAGTTCTACTACTACTAATAATAATAATAATAGTACGTTTATATTGAATTATTATTTATATAGCCATTATAACGTAGTTCACGCTTATTCATTTAAAATTCTAAATTTGCTTTTGCCTCGTGTCACGCCTGCACACAAATGATCCACAAGAAAAACTCGATTGAGCGGAGTCCCTTTGATCTTGTTGGAAACTATCATTCTGGTAATCAGAAGGTTTTGTGCATCAAATTCAAACGAGTATAAAATAAAGGATCTGGAAATGTTTACTTTTTGTTAAACCAAGTGTCTTAGTCATAAACTCTACTTGTCCAATTGGAATTCAAGGTTGTGAAAAATGAGGCAATATTGAAGGGGATATTCCAAATTCTAGCAAGTTGGTTGAGAACGACTCTTTTAAGTCTTAGGCAGAGAAACAAAATACAAGTCCCAATCTAGCTGTTGCTAATGTGAAGGGCATATGTCGGACAATTTATTGGAAAAATATTGTTGGAGAAATTTTCCTAGAAAAGTTTTTACGAAAAAAACGTGTATGAATGTGATTGTTTTTATTAAAATTTTTGTTTTGTTTTTTAAAAAGTGCATCATAAGTATATGATAATTTTGTTTGGTGAACAAGTAGGAAAGCGGAAGAATTGGTTTTTAAGTCCTTTACAAAGTTGTTTTTAATTTCATGTCTTTTGTTTTTAGGAGATTTTCGTTTTTACACATAAAAGTCTAAAAATAACATACAAGAAATTTGAAAAGATTATTTTTTTATGTTCAAATTGTAAGTGGCACACGAGATCATTTCCTCAAAGAAAACCTAGTGTCTTTTCGTGCTAAGCTTGTAGAATTAAAACTAGCTGTTCTAAGTTAAGGATACGAAGTAGGAGCAGTTTGTTTGATATGCTAATAAAGTTTCATATTTGTAATTGAAAAAGAAATTAAATATGAAAATTTAGAAATACTTTTAATTGTATGTGACTTTTCAAAAGGACTATACGTGATTAATTCAAAGCAAATAATATCATATCTTACTTATAGCATGTTTGACCAAGCTTCTAATATCAACTTATTTTGAGAAATGCTTTTCTCAAAAAAAAAAAAAGTATTTTTGGTGAGATGCAGTTTGCGATTGGCTACTTAGTTTGAAAAGTACTTTTGAGTAGCAATTAGTGTTTGACCAAGCTTTTAAAAGTGGTTCTAAGTGTATTTTTTTCAGAAGTAATTTTTCAAAAAAATGCTTTTGGAAAGAAGCTATTTTTTTCTGCTTTTCAAAAACTGCTTCTGCTTCTCATCAAAAGCAATTTTTTTTTTCCAAAAACACCAAACACCTTAATTTTAGAAGAATAAAAAAACACATTTGATATAAAAACAACACTTTTACCTCAAAAAAAGCTTGACCAAATAGGCTAAAAGTATTTTTGAACTAACTTAGCGTCTTGGCCCAACACAATCAAATCACCAAATTTACAAGCAATTTAGGAGTGTATTTCAGCCATAAATGTTGCCTCTAACTCTTATTGATACTGCTAATCTTTACGATACCTGTTAGAAAATCCCGTCAAAGTCAATATATTTTTAATTCTCACGTCAACAACTTCAGGAACCAAAGAATCTAATGCATTTTCTTCTTTAAATCAAATTCAACCTGCCTCATTGTTTATTTACTGACAATCATTTGTTTGATTTCTTGATCATATAACTTAATTAGTCCAGCTTTAGATTCCTTATGATAGCTAACATTGCACATTACTGTAGATAAAAAAATGTGTTTGGCATAGTCCTGTTTTCTTCCTCCCAGCGTTGAGCTGTCAAATGGACATTAATGCAAAACCAACATTCCAATAAATAAAATTTAGCTGGCATATACAATATTAGTATTGCATTAAAATGGGAAAAAAAATTATGAGACTTTCACATGCAATACAGGCTGGCTTCTGATTTCTGGTTACTCTGGCTTGTAGTCTCCAGGTGAGTATTTCTGCTATTGCCCAACAAGTTTTCTTAAACCAACCCTTCGACAATGTATAAATATCTAAATGTATTTTTTAAAAGATATTTTTCTTAGACTTATTATCACTATTAAGAGCAGTAAAAATGTTTACCCACTGTCTGGTATTTCAATTGGGGCTTGATTAAATTCGGATTTTTCGAAAAGTCCTACATTGAGAGATAAAGCATTTTCTAACAAAAACGACTTCATACTTAGGGTGTGTTTTGTATGAAGGAAAATATTTTTCGAAAAATATTTTTTAATTTTTCCATGTTTGGTTGGCTTAAATATTTTGAAAAATATTTTTCTCGTGAACTCATTTTCCCTATCAAAATAAGGGAAAACATTTTCCAAAACTCCTTTTCAACCTTCTCCGCCCGATTCTCCATCCCCACCTACCCTAAATAGAACTATTATTAGTAGTACTTTCTTTTCATGTTGTAGATAGAGTATTTTTTTCCCAATAAAATGAGTATATTTTTTTCATGATATAGTAAAAGAATTTTCTTTCATTTCAACAAAACAAGTACTTTTTTTTCATGATGTATAAAATATATTCTCTTTCATTTCAACAAATTGAGTAATTTCTTTTCATGTTGTAGAAAGAATACTTTCTTTTTCTACAAAATAAAGTATTTTTATTTTAGTTATCGAGCTCAAATTTCAACGTTGTTCTTGCGTGAAGTAAAATAGCACATTGGGTTTGTGTGAATTTTGAAAAGAATAATTAAATTCTTGAAGAAATTAGAGTCGGAGGGAGAGGGAGGGAAACATGGGAATTTAGGGGAAGGTGAGTTGGGGAGAGTAGCATAAAAAATTATTTTTCTAAAAATATTTTATACTCTCTAACCAAACACTAAAAAATATTTTTCGGAAAATATTTTCACTCATCAACCAAACAAGAAAAAATAAGTGATAAAACTACTCATTTTTCAGGAAAATATTTTTTAGTGTTTGGTTAGAGAGTATAAAATACTTTTAGAAAAATAATTTTCTTTCATATCAAACACGCACTTAAGGTTCA